AAAAGGGGATGGTGTATTCTCTTAGCTACTTCCTGCTGAAAAGGGACGCTGTGGGTTTCAGGGTGAAGATCTTCTCTCACTACTCTAAAGTTTGCCAGAGATCTTGATTTTGAACAATGCTGGGTGCCACAGACAGGAGTGGAGAACTAATATTTCTCAAGAAATGTAAAGATTCAGATGAGGCTGACCAGGTGATGGCAAAAGAAGCAAAAAAAATGCCCTCAAATAGAAACTACATTTTATGGAAAGAGACTAATTTAGTATTCTTGTCCAGAAGATAAAGCTCTATAATTGTTTGCATTGCTATATATCCAGTAAGAATCAAAAGAAGATGGAATAAATACACAGAATCATGGTAGCAAAAATAATTAGAAGACACTGAAAAATTTCAATGAGTACCATAAAAACAAGATCTAATAGTAATAAAGGATAAAGTTCAAAATGCACTGAAGGCATTAGCAAAAAATAAGGAAATACCAATTGACAAACTGACAAGTTTCAACTACCAGATGCAGCCCTGGATGTGTTCATTAGTTTATGTTAGGAAATTTGGAGGGCAGCTACATGACCAACTGACTAGAAGAACATATTTGTTCTCATTCCTAAGAATGGTACAGACTGCAGAAATTATTGAACATCATTAATATCGCATGCAAGCAAAATATTGTTAAATATCAGTTCAAAAATAGCTAGAATAGTATACTGATAGGAAATTACTAGAAGTTCAAGCTGGCTTTAGAAGAGGCTGTGGCACCAGAGATATCATTACTGATGTCAGATGGATCTTGGATGAAAGCAAAGAATATCAGAAGAATGTCTATATGCTAACATTGAGAAGAATAGGAATCCCAGAACACTCAATTGTGTTAATATGAAATATATACCTAGACCCAGAAACAACTGTCCAAACTGAGCAAGGGAACAATGCGTGGTTTAAAATCAGGACAAGTGTGTATGATTTCTCCATACCTATTCATTCTGGATACTCAGCAAATAATTCACAAAGATGGACTCTATGAATAAGATGTGACATCAGGATTAGAGGAAGACTCATCAACAACCTACATTATGCAGATGACAACTTAGGAAAGTGAGGAAGATATTAATTGCTTGCGACAGATCAAGGACTATAACCTTCAGTATGGATTACATCTCAACATCAAGAAAACACAGGTGCTCACTAGAAGACCAAGAGTATATATGTAGAAAGGATTGAAGCTTATCAATGACTTCATCTGCCTTGGATCAACAATCAACACCCTTGGTACCAATAGTTAAGAACTCAGGAGACATATTGCATTGGACAATTCTGCTGCATGGACCTCTCCAAAATACTGAAGAGCAATGATGTCAATATGAAGATTAAAATGTGCCTGATTTAGGTCATGGTATTCTCGATCACCTGCTACACATCAGATAGCTGGACAAAAGAATTAATGCCTTTGAGTTATGTTGCTGGAAAAGAGTAACATCCATGAACTTCCAAAAGAATAAATAAATATGTTTTGGAAAAAATGTAGCCAGAATGTTCCTTGGAGGCAAAGATGGCGAAGCTTAGTCTTTCATACACTGGACATGTAGCCAGGTGAGGCTATTCATTGGAAAGGGACATCATATTTGGAAAAGTGGAGGATCAGGGAAGGTAAGGAAGACCCCCAAAGAGATGGACTAACAAACACAATGACTTCACCATTGGCTGGAATATGTCACAGATGGTGAGGATGGTGCAGAATAGGGCAAGTTCAGGTCAGCTATTCAAAGGGTCACTATGAATCGTATTCAACTTGATGGCACCTAATAAGAATAATATATTTTTTAAATCTTGGTCTTGGTTTTTTATTTCTTAGTGGGAAAAAAACCTACATTTTAAAGGAAAGGAAGTTTGATATCTTTGTTTTGAAGTAGTATTAGAGAAGATGTTGGGCAATTTTTTCGGTTGTTTTTTGATTGTTGCATCAATAACATTTATTACTATGACAGATAAAAGCTTTCTATGACTGTCGCATTTGTCACCAAAAAAAAGCATTTTATACCATTATATGTCATTTCCTCTACATTAGAAAATAGCTCTTCTAAACATTGGCAATTTGTTCATGATCACTGCTGAATCAGAATTTGTATTTACGCCTGAGGATCATTCTGATTTTGGGGGGGTTTTCCTGGGCATACATAAATACTTTAGCAAATGTTAGTTTACTTTAGTTTCTTTTCACCAAAACTATTCTAAACAAAAATGGCATTTCACAAGCATGAGTAAAACCCATGTTGTTTCAGGGTTATAATCATTCTCATCAACTGAGAATACAAAACAAATCACATTAAATTTAAAAAAACAACTTGAAAACATGCATTTTCAAATCAAATAAACTATCTAGTATTAGCTGGACTGTTTCTAGCATTTTTTTAAAGGATCTACACTTGCTATGCATCTGAGAGCTGAACAATTACTAGGGATGATAGAAGGAGAATTGATACTTTGAGTTACGGTGTTGGAGAAGAGTAGTGAATATACCATGGACTGCTAAGAGAACAAACAGGCTCATCCTGGAGAGGCTGCTCCTTGGAGGTAAGGATTCTGAAGCTTCATCTGACATGCTCTGGACATGTTGCTAGGAGGGACCAGTCCTTGGATAGGGAGGTCATGCTTGGAAGGGTGGAGGGACAGCACAGGAAGACCTTCGATGAGATGGATTGATTCAGTGACTGGGGTAATGGCGGTAGGTGGGTCAGAGACAGTAAGATTGACACAGGATAGAGCAGAGTTAGGCCTATTGTACATAGGGTCACTATGAGTTGCAGGCAACTTGACAACACCTAACAACAACATATAAAAATTCAGTATCTATATAATAATATCCACCTCAGATAAGCAACAAACAGGCGTTTTTCAAAGGTACCCGGGATTTCCGGCGGGAACAAACCCTTGGAAACTCTGACAAGCGTGCTCCTGGGAGGAAGGGAAGCTTGAAAGCGGCAGCCACCTCAGATAAACAACGAACAGGCGTTTTTCAAAGGTACCCGGGATTTCCGGCGGGAACAAACCCTTGGAAACTCTGACAAGTGTGCTCCTGGGCGGAAGGGAAGCTTGAAAGCAGCAGCCACCTCAGATAAGCAACGGGCAGGCATTTTTCAAAGTTATCCGGGATTTCCGGCGGGCCCTTGGGCCAGAAGGGGAAACATAATCTACACAGAAGTTCTACAGGACACGTCACCTTCCCTTGGAGACAGCACAACTAAACTTAAGAGACACTGGTCAAAAGAAAAATGTCAGCAGTCGACATTTTTGGAATCACAGAAGCCAAGAAAGCTTAAGATACAAACT